CTTTACCTGTTGGTGGTGGTCGGAGGGACCAGAGGCAACGCTGCTCGGCAGCCTCACTGCCGTCAGTGCGCCCCGGGGCAGCTGTCGCTACAGTGTAGCTCATCATCACCAGTGTGTGAATGGGTGAATGACTGCATTTGTTGTGAAGCGCCTTGGGGGGTTGTAGATCCCTAGAAGGTGCTATATAAATACAGGCCATTTACCATTAAAACATTTTGAGTGGTTTGTTCAAACAACTCAGATGCGTTTAAACTGGTTTTATACCAGTAGAAAAAGTGTGGAATTGGTACAGAATTGCACATCAGATTCCTAAGAGCCAGATATCTCCATGTTGGTGATGAATGTGTAAACTGAGTGTGTTGTTTGCAGGTCCTGTGTGTGGGAAGCTGAACACAGCACAGAAGAATTTGACTATTGAAAGTAATGAAGTGACGGTGAGGTTTTCCTCCGGCCCACATCACTCTGGGCGGGGCTTTCTACTCTCATACGCTACAGACAAGCACCCAGGTATGTTTAATCCTCTCCTGGTTCAGTCACACTGCTCAATCTTTTGTAATTCTTCTGAATGCAGAGTGTTTTAATAAAACTTAGAGGTCTCCCATGTAGCAGACCTGGGTTCAAAATAGGGCTGCAGCTATCGAATATTTTTGTAATCGAGTACTCTATCGAATCTTTTATTGATTACTCGAGTACTTTAATAAATGACCCTTTTGTGTTTGTAAACCATTATATCAAATAGCATGTTATAAAATATGAAAGACCTCTTAAAACGAGCATGCAATTGCCAGTTATTCTTCAAGTTTTATTCAAAATTAGTTTTCAAAACTTCAGCACTTCAACTTTACTTCACAGTAAATAAACGCCTGTGCAAAAAATAAATACACAACCTGAGCCGATTTTCCCCTCGCGCAGGAATCTACTAGCCTGGCAAGCCAGACAAAAACTAGGAGGATAACTGTTGAAGTAGCGCTGCGAGCAGCTGCGGGCCAAACAGCACCAGAACCGCTCACGGCGCGTGCGCAAACATGGCTAGCCAGCTGTTTCCCTATTAACACACGTCCGTTTTAATTTCTACACTTTTTTTTCTCACACTGACAAGGATTGTCGAGAAAGCATGTTTGCTGTGGTTATGTCAAATTATACTGATCACAAAACATTTATTTACTTTCTTTCGTTTTCCTCCTCAACTCATAAATACCTGTGTCCTCCAGCAGCAATCCCGAGGGACAACAGACATCAATAACAACACAGTAAAATGTCCGACGTGTTGTAAAAACTGCTATTTTTAGCACATTTTAGGTCCGACGTGTTGCTAGCAGACCCACCGTGTGAGCTGAAACTGAGTGCTACAAATGAAAAAGTCACACAGTGTCTGCAGAATATATAGAAATACAGGCTAAAATGCATGATCTTGTAGAGGCTCCGAGTCCGCTTGCAGAAGTGACATTTACATGTGGATGTTTCCTGGTCAGGTGCTGCAGCATGGAGGATGTGGTGTTGTGGTAGGCTAAATCCATTTTACAGTATTTACACTGGACTACGTTTTCCGCCTTGGTCCCACACCTTTGGCATTTTCTGTCTTTTTCGCACTCCACCGGGGTCCACGTTGTCCGCTGTGGCTTAAGAGAAAGTTACGTTACATTCGCTACTCGCGTGTGCATTCAGTGCAGTGTGTATGTGCGTCACTTATTTCGGTCCGGGTGAAACATGACCCGGGGCGATTGCAAAGCCATGAATTAATTAAACATGAATTAAACAAAGCCTCGAGGCAGAGACTTTGACTCGAGGCTTTTTGTACTGTGGTCACCAACCTGGGGGTGAAGTTGGATGTAGAGCTCACACTGGACACCCAGGTCAATGGAACAGTCAGATCCTGCTACTTCCATCTCAGGAGAATAGCTAGGATTAAGCCGTTTCTTTCACGCAAACATCTGGAAACTGTCATCCACTCCTTCATTTCCACCAGACTGGACTACTGTAACTCATTTTATGGCGGCATCAAGCAGGCCTCCATAGCGAAACTGCAGAAGGTCCAAAATGCGGCAGCCAGGTTACTGACTGGTACCAGGAGATCTGAACACATCACGCCCGTCTTGGCATCCCTACACTGGCTTCCAGTCTCTTTTAGAATTTTGTTTAAAGTTCTGGTGTTTGTTTTTAATTGTTTACATGAGTTGGCTCCACGTTATCTGGCGGATCTGATCCATCCTTATGTGCCCGCAAGGAACCTTCGGTCAGCTCAACAAGGACTGTTAGTCGTTCCGAAACACAGACTACAATCCCGAGGGGGTCGTGCTTTCTCGGTGCTGGGGCCGAGGCTCTGGAATGAGCTACCTGCATGGGTTAAACAGGCCAGGACACTCGGCAAGTTTAAGAGCCAGCTGAAAACACACTTTTATTCTTTAGCTTTTATTCAGGAAGAGTCCCGTTAACTGTTGGCTTGGCACTTTTTGCTGCCCCACCTAGATTTTATCTGCATGTTTTTGCTGGTTTTAAATGGTTTTAAATGTTTTTATTTTTTATTTTATTTATTTATTTTTTTAATGCTTATTTCTGCTGTGCAGCGCTTTGTTTGGTCCTTGGGCCATGTGAAGGCGCTATATAAATAAAGTTTTAGTTAGTTAGTTAGAGTTATTCAAGGTACTCGAGGAATAGTTTCAGCCCTACTTCAAAACCCATCTGGGCTATAATATATGCTAAGTTCAAGCATTCATATTAGATCAGACTTTGCAAGATAAACCACATCTAACTATTCTCATTACCACCTTCTCAGTGGCCTCGTGCAGGGGTTCCCACATTTCTTTCCAAGAAAAGCCAGGACCCCCGTCCCCAACTCTTACATGCATACACACATTAAATGTGATCATTTACAAAATTTATACAGACATACAGAGTTATAAGTTCTATGTAGAGTTCGGGTTATACTGTAGGGTGTGTTATTGGGATTTTATAAATGTAGTCTTTACAAATAAAATATTGCTGACATACTGTTGGGTATTTTTATAATTGTACCTTTTTGAGGCCTAAAAGATGCCCATTTTGTGTTATTAACACATCATGAATCTCTGTGTTTGCCAACTACTGTGGCTGTTCATGAAAGGTTGAGCAAGGATGTTGATTGTAAGAAACCTCTGTACCTCTGTAACCTGAGAAGGCCCGCCTTCTCCTCCATCCATTGTGAATAAAGCCCCTGACGAACTGGGAACACACGGGAGTGACGTGGGGAAGCCTCGGAGGAGGTTTCTCTGCGTTAACTCTCCATATTTTGGGGACTCAGGGTAAAATGTCTTCCTTATTGTCATGTGTGTTTATTTCAGGTTCCAGGGTTATGGAGATTAAATATTACCTAACATTCTGGTCTCCTGATGGAGATGATGCGGGTATGCAGAGCTGGTGAGGTGAAGGCTTTGAGGCTGGAGCAGAATGGGGGCTGGTTGGTTGAGTCCAGCTTCTCGCATGTTGATTCGCGCACATGGACATTATAAATAATCAAGATTTACTCTCTCTCTCCGGGTGTGTCGTCCTTTAAGGTAATATGGGATAATCTAAAATTACCTATCACATACAACCTCAGCAAGACAAAACTGTGGTGACCACCCTTTACTTTGTGGTGGCCCCAACCCTCAATTTGGGAGCCACTGGCCTAGTGGTCGAGTGTCCGCCCTGGGACTGGGAGATTGGGGTTCAAATCCCAGTCGGGTCATACCAAAGACCTTAAAAATGGGACCCAATGCCTCTCCGCTTGACACTCAGCTTTTAAAAGGGGTTGGATTTGGGGGTTAAACCATCACATAGTTCCTGAGTGCAGCCACAGCTGCAGCTCACTATTCCCCTCAGGGATGGGTCAAATGCTGAGATGAAGTTCACCAGTGTGATGGTGACTAATGGGATTTTAAATTTAACATTAGTTACATCCCAATATTTTTATATTACCAGTTGTTGTTCCTGTAGAATCCAACATACCTCAGCTTCACTCGTGCATGAGTAATCGCTACATGTGTGCTAATTTACAAGTTTACTCTGGTGTTATGATAATACGGGCGTCTCTGTTAATTATTATCCTGCTGTATGTCTGACTCACTGCTTGCTGGCCTCCGTCCTCTGTCGCTGTCTCGGCTCCGGCATGTTTGCTCAGAAACTCTTTCTCACAGGCTGAATGGAGTCTGTCACTTAGGGGGAGCTGATGTGCTCCAGACTGTTAACTGCTCACACGCCCGCCTCCAGCTTCACTGTAATGCTTCTCAACACAAAACAAAGCACATCTTCATTTCTTTACATTTTACTTTCAGTGGTTTTCTTTGAAATTTTTTTAGAACATTTCTTAAAGTTTTGTGAAGGTTTATAATGAGTTATTTTACTTTGGCTGCTTCTTCACTCGTTTTCAGTCTAAGCTCTGGTCATTTTAGATGTTTTCTTTGGTTTCTTTACTTTTTTTTATCCATGATTTATTCGGGTATGAAATGCTGCTAAAGTCAGGCACAAACAACCTACAAATAACCTATTTAAACTTCATCTTTAGGCTCTTGTAGTTGTCAGCAGCTTGTTTGTTCCTATTTTAGTTGATTCTGAAAGATAAAAAAATAAAAGCATGAAATGGGATTTTAGCTCTAACAAGGTGATTCCCAAAGAGATGTTAGCTGAAAATGTAATGAAAAACTCTCAGGTCCTATTGATTCTCATACCAGTTTGTTGTTGATAAGGTTTTACTTTTACATCTGAATATTCTTTGTGTTTCTTTCTGCTCACTTTAGTGTGCACAAATATGACTTCTGAGCAGAAAATACATGAGAAAACTTTACATTTGTTTGAGAAAGGCTGAAGATTCTAATCTTTTTAAATGAATATGAGAATGTTTGGCTCTTTAGAAGGAGAATGTAAAGAAATAATATGTGATTTAGGACTTTTCCACAGGACACGATAGGGCTGAATTGTTTTAGGAAAAGATTGAACTGTTATTTGGGATTTCAGTACATTCTTCACCATGTACAGTAACGTTTACAAACATGACAGGAAATGACACACCATTAAAACTTATTACTCTTAATACTGCAAGGAGGAAAACTAAAGGTAAGAATTCCTTTTAAATGTACCGTAAATCCTCTAATATTAGCCTGTATTTAATTAACTGCCGGGTATCATATTTTGGCCGGTGTCGGAGTCGGCGGAGGTGAATAATGGCCGTTTTTTTATTGTGGCCGGGTGGAATGTGGTAACAAGCAAGTACGGGGGGCGGTTGTGTCATCCGTCTCACTTTTGATTTGCCAGTGATAGACCACGAGGGTAACTTTAACCGTGCGGAGATGAAGAGGAGGTGAAAATTTGATATCAAGTTCAAAGAGAACGTGCTGATTATGCTGCAGAACACTCTGGGGAGCAGTAGCAGGGGTTGTATGAACTAGTCACTAGTCGACTTCACCGCTCTATAGTGACTTTTTATGCCTGTCATCGACTAGTCGCTGTCACGTGATAATGACCGGCAAGATGCAGTCCTCGGAAAAGACAGCAGGTGATGATCTCGTGTGCGTCGGGAGGCAACGCGCTGTGCCAGAGCGTCGGTACTGACACCCGCCGTAAAACGGACATTTAACCAAATTGTGACCAATTTAACCTTCCCCTCACCCCATCCTAACCTTAACCAGCTTGCGCATGCAAAGCTCTGATTGTTGACACGCTCCAGAAATCTGCATCCTGAGCACGGCCACAGTAACATTATCAAATCAGGTGTCGCCACCTCAAAAACAAAGCTAACACGCAATCGTTCATGTCGGCTCATTTCCTTTTATGTTTTCTGTCTTTTATTCTTTTATTTGTGCCTGATGCATTTCGCTGCTGTGGATCGGGGCGCATCACCTGTTTTGTCCTCGGTGACGCACCTAACTGATGTGGCCGGCGAGCACTCCGCTGTTTTTGCGGTCAGTAGATCTTTTAGAACTGCAGTTCAAAGGTAACTCATAAGGTGAATATATATGAACCCAGGTAGCAGTTTCTCTTTAGGATTGAGAGGAGAAGCAGGACGATAATAAACAGGCAGGACAGAAAAATAGTCAAATAAAAACAAGTTAGTTTTTGTACCTGGTGGTTGCAACAGACACCATTGAAGGCAATCAGAAGTGAGGAACAGAAAATGAAATAATTATTTTAATGTTTAGAGCAGCAGGAACTCTGAGAGGCTGCAGGCGCATCAGTGAGTTTGCGGCCGCTGCGCAGGGGGAGGGGAGAGAGGGCTGAAGCAGGAACTACCGTTTTTAAAAGAAATGTGTTTAACTTTGAAAACGTGGGCGCAATATTAATTGTCAAAAACTCCAGCGAACCATTAGTTCATTTTGCTCAAATAGAAATAGAGGCCTGCCTCAAATACTGGTCCTCCTTCCAATAAAGGCCTGGAGCTTGATGAGCTTGAGTCAAATACAGGCCCGGGCCTGTATTAGAGGATTTACGGTATTTATTAGGGGAAAAAAACTTACATGCAGAGTCTTCCCTGCATTGTTTTACTGAGGTGGCTGTCTGGTCGTTGTTCAGGGTGACCTGAATGTTTTTCTCACAAAAACACGTCTCTGACACCAAACACAGGCGGTAGATGGTTCAACCCTAGTCTTACATTTAGAAAATCCCTAAACGATGTGTTTTCTGAGTAGCTCTAAACTCTAGTTCAGAAAGACAAATGAGCTCATCCTTCTCTCTCTCTCTCTCTGTGTGTGTGTGTGTGTGTGTGTGTGTGTGTGTGTGTGTGTGTGTGTGTGTGTGTGTGTGTGTGTGCGTGTGTGTGTGTGTGTGTGCGTGTGTGTGTGTGTGCGTGTGTGTGCGTGTGTGTGTCACAGTTTCCTGTTTTTCTGCATCGTTTTTTTATAAAATCCAGCGGTGTCTGGAGCTAAGGCCTTGCACTGACACAAACCATCGTCTGTTTACTGTGATCACTTCTGTTGTGCTGGTCAGACTTGTGAACTATGACTAAGGGACAGCAACAAAGAGTTCAGTCATCTTAACAGAGATGGCTGCCCATCTCCTAAGATAGCAGCGTTGGAACATACCAGGGTGTGTGTGTGTGTGCTGCATTTTGTAAGCCTCAGACTATTAATTGAAGCTTCTTTTTGTGTTTTCAGATTTCATCACATGTTTACAAAGAGGCTCTCATTTTAGCTTGCAGCATTTGAGGCAAGTAGCTAATGTGTGAATCTAAAACCAATTTAAATGGAGGCTGTGTGTGTTTTTCATGTTTTATTTATTTATTTATTTGTTTTTGCTGCTAGTGTGTACTGCCCGGCTGGATGCAAGAATGTCACAGGAGACGTTTGGGGGAACTCTGAACAAGGTTACAGAGATGTGAGAACAGCGTTCCTAATCCTTTCCTTTGTGTTCTTTTTTCACTTTGGTTGAATAAATGTTTGCTGACATCTTCTCTCTGCTACAGACTTCAGTCTTGTGCAAGTCTGCTGTTCACGCTGGAGCCACGTCCGATACCTCGGGAGGTCGGGTCACCGTGGATCGAGGGAGGAGTCTGACTCTCTACGAATCGGCCTTTTCCAATGGAATCCTGTCAAAAATGTTGGTTTTCTGTGTGTTGAGACGAGAGGTCGGATCAAGGTTTAGAACAATGCCTCTTTGACCTTGCATTGCTTCTCCGTTGACAGGGGATCGCTATCTGAGAAGAAGCTGCTGTTCAGCCAAGGTACGAGCCAGCAGCGACATTCAGAACCACTCGCTGCAAAATTCTCCTACAGGAAATGGCACTCTTGCACGTTCTAGCTGCTTCGCCTTGAGCAGCACGTTATTTACATTCCCGCAGTTTGTTTCTCACGATAGGCAGCAGTGTTTTTATGATTAAGAAATGAGGGGGGTTGTGACGCCATATGCACCCCCAACATGTCATCCTCTTTATTAATGTAACTCAGGGGGTGACTTGTGTTTATAAAACACACAAACACAATGAGCTGCCTTCATCTGGTGACCCCCCCTCTGTCCCTGAACAGAGTGTAACAACATCCTGCGTGTCTCTGGTCTCAATGCCTCATCTTACTGGGATAAAACCAGTCAAGAGCACACAATGTCCTCGTCCTCCAGAAGCGTGGAGTCCAGCCACGGCTTCCTACTCTGGACCGCAGACACTAATGACCCGAACCCTTGGGTGGAGCTGGAACTAGCAGAAAGGAGCATGATCACAGGTAAGGAATATTAGAAGTACTTTATTGCAGAGAATTGGCTGGTTTTTGTTAGTTTTTTTTATTTTTTGTTTTATTTAATTTTAAATGGTGTAAAAATGCATTTTTTAATGACGATCCAAGAAAAACATAAAAGATTTGAACTTTTTCCCCTCAGGGTTAATAACAATGGGCTCCATTGAGAACTACATAGAATCCTACAGTCTGTATTTCAGCAAGGACGGGAAAACCTGGAAGCTGTACAGAGATCCTCAGAGCAAAGAGAAGAAGGTTGGTGTTCTCCTAAATTTGTTTCAGACACAAAATGTTTCAGTTAAAGGTGCAGTAGATGCTTTTCAGCAACATTTTTTGCCACATTGCTTGAAATTCTCTTCACTTACTGATTAAATGTTGTGTCTGAAATTTATGATTTTAATCACTTCTGAACATATAATCCTGTAAAAACTTCGTCCAATCGCCGTGACCGTCCTGTTAATGACTGGACCCTAATCTGTCCACCAAATGGCGCCTCAGATCATCAGATCACCCTACAAAACACACGTTCTCAGCTCTGAGCAGCTGAACAGGAAGTGAAGCCTAGTATCGTTGTGTTTACAAATCTCACTTAAGTAGTTGTTGTACGTGTTCTGTTCAGAATCTGGTTCTGTTCTTGGTGGGAAACGTTTAGGTGACAGACCTTCTGTCTGCAAAGGCAGAGCTGTCTGTCAGTTTGTTGCCTTGGCAACACACGTGTGTGTGTGTGTGTGTGTGTGTGTGTGTGTGTGTGTGTGTGTGTGTGTGTGTGTGTGTGTGTGTGTGTGTGTGTGTGTCATACCAGCTGCCTCTCTTGGGTGTTTAAAGTTAAAGTTCCATTAGTTATCACACACTCGTGAGATTCATCTCCACATCCCACAGGGATGGGTTGAGCTGCAGCTGTGGCCACACTCGGGAACTACTGGTGGTTTAACCCCCCAATCCAATTCCTTAATGCTGAATGTCAAGCACGGGGGCAATACCAAGTCTTTGGTATGACCAAACCGGGATTTGATCGCTGATATCCCAGTCCCAGGGCACTCTATCACTAGGCCACTGAGAAGGTTACACTGCATAAGTGGAGTGTAATTTACTCCATAAAGACAGGGACTTCCACACGAATGTCCTAATACCGTAAATGCATCAGATTTTAGCTATCAGCTGATTTCCTTCTGGTCAGGTAGCAACAGTTTTTACAACAAAACACCTAAAAAGCAAGCTGTTGCTAAATCAAAGGGCTGCTGCAGGATTACAGTGTTGTCCTTCAGCTTTACAGTCTCTGTGCAACATGTGTGCAGGAAGGTTCCTACTGCTTTTCTGCCAAGCTTAACTTAACAGTGTTGAGGTTCGTAAAATGTGAAGTTTTGGAGATGAGCGCTGTTTTTAAAACGCAGTAATCGAATGTGGTCTTGTGTGCATTTAGATGAGCTGTGAGTGCTTCAGTTCTGTAAGATGAGGCCATTCAGGAAGCTGTCAGTGATGGATTAGAAACAGAAACAGGCATCAAAAGGGCTAAAAGATGCTTTTAATCTCACTGGATGTTATTTCCGAATGAACAACTAGATTATTTTCGGAAGGCTGACCCTGTAGCAGATGAGGACAAACAGGTGCTGCTGAGTAGAAGTACCTTTTACGTCTTTATGAATCTTTATTATGATCTTTATTGCTTGTAGGTATTTCAGGCAAACGCAGATGGGCACCTCAGGGTGCTCAACAGCTTGTTTCCTGTTGCGATTGCTCGTTTTGTTCGGCTTCAGCCACTGAGCTGGCATGGGAGAGCTGCGACCCGGGTCCGGGTTCTGGGCTGTCCTGCTTCCAAGGCCACACCAAGATCGCGGACGTTTGGAGGTGAGCATTTACTTTTTATTTCGAGGAAACATCACCTGTGTGCATCATCAGGTTAGAGGTAAGCCTTTTCTGTCCATGTTTAGCCGAGTCGTCGTCCTTCAACATCAGCTTGGACACTCAGACTCCCTCCCCCACAGAAGACTCCCTGTTGGTGAAAACACAAAGTACGTGCTCATTTCATTACCATAACAAACATGTGTGTGTTTGATCAGATAAAACAATAACGTACTCCTTCTACACACCTCCCCTTGTGCAGGCACCAGTCAGCCAGTGATGGTGGCCGTGGGGGTGGTGCTGGGACTAGTGATGTGTGGGAGTTTACTGGCTGTGGTCTGGTGGAAACGAAGGTACGGCTGTCATCAGAGAGTCTCTCTTCCACAGACTTCTAACATGATGCTGGGACCTTTATTTTTTAAGATCATTTAACAGAGTTAAAAACCCACCCTGTGAACAGATATGTACCATCACCTCCCACGTCTGAAAACACAACTTTAAACATGGGGCCGGGTTTACAGCAGAAAGAACCGGATTAACCTGAGCAGATAAAAACGGGTTTGTTTGTAAATGAATGTTGTTTCTTCTGTTATGCAGGAAAAAAGTCTCACATATGAAGAAATCTTTACCCACAGGCAAGCAAAGCGCCTCAATGTTTGGTTTCTTTTTAAATGTTACCACAAAAATATTGACTGGGTTTGTTTTTATAGGCTGTCAGAATTTTAAAGCTAAAGGTCTCTCCTGTCCACAACCGGAGCTGATCTGCTACCCTCTGCAGAGGAACGTCCACGATGCTCTACCCGCACCCCCCCTCAACGGTGAGGATCCACCAGTTTCAGTTTGTTGTCTCCCCGTCTCCTCTGGTCCGTTTCTGAGTCCAGTGGTCCATCTGAGCACACATACACACATTCTCTGTATAAACATGCCTTTCTCAAGTCCACTGAGTCTTTCTGAAAGAGGCCCTTTAATTGGAGCTCGATTGATTTAGCTGATTGGGGTCTTGTTGAATATCACACCGTGACATTTGAACATTTTAGAGTATTAGTGTAATGTTTCCTGTTTGTAGTGCCTCCTGTTAAGTGCCCATTTCTTTCAATATTTCAGCTTTATAATAAATATTTGGATACACATTTCGTTATGTTCCAGTCATTAGTATTTATAGTATTGTAAAGAAAGAAAACTGTCATTTAAATAGCACCGCAAGATAAAAAATCATGAGGTGCTTCACAAGAACAAAAAAAAATTTAGGTATAAAAAAATTTCAAAAATTTCTTTTTTAATGTTTAAAATGAGGAAAAAATATAAATTGTGATTTTAAAAAAACGTAAGGAAAGTGACAGAGAAATTATTAGGAAAGGGGGAAATCAGTGGATCAAAGAAAGTAAAATGTCTTCCTCATGAAATAAAACAAGTTGCCGACGTTGCCAGAATTCACACTGCTGGATTTATAACATTGTATAATAAAAAAGCGTTTCACTTTACATCGGAGCCGATATAGATAAAAAAAATGCTGGATCCCTATTAGTTGTCATTGCTAGCGGGGTCACCAGGTTCAGGTGATTGCCCCGGACCATCAGCACCGGTTCCCTTCAGGGTTGCGTTCTCTCCCCTCTGCTCTTCTCCCTGTACACCAACAGCTACACTTCCAACCATGAGTCTGTGAAGCTTTTCAAGACTGCAGACTACACCACCATCATTTGGCTCAACTTGGACGGGAATGAGTCTGCCTACAGAATGAAGGTCGAACGGCTGGTGTCCTGGTGCAGCCACAACAACCTGGTGCTAAACTCCCAGAAGACAGTGGAGGTTTCTGTGGACTTGAGGAAGCACACAGCCCCACTCCCATCACGATGGTGGACTCATGTTACTTCCTGGGCACCACTATCACCCAAGACCTCAAGTGGGAACCCACCGTCACCTCCGTCATAAAAAAAAAGCCCAGCAGAGGATGTACATCCTGAGGCGGCTGAAGAAATTCAACCTGCCAGCACAGTCGATGAGGCAGTTCTACATCACAGTAATAGAGTCCATCCTTACCTCTTCAATCACCATGTGGTATACTGGAGTTACTACCAGGGACAAGTAGAAGCTGCATCTTGTACGCTCAGCTGAGAAGGTCATTGGCTGCAAACTCCCCTCCAAACAGGACCTGTACATCTCCAGAACATTGAGGTGTGCAGGTCAGATAACAACTCACTAGTGTCACCCTGGACAGTCTTTTTGACTCGCTCCCATCAGGCAGGAGGCTCAGATCCATTTATTCCCCTCTGCTGTTGGACTCATGCATGACAATCCTAGGGCTGCCCACTCCAGTTGCTTGGTTTCAGTCACATGACCCTGTGTTGTGTTTGTACTTTAACTGATCCGCTCTGATCAGTACCTACACTGTCTTGTATATAGTTGCCGTTTCTCTAATTATATTATTATTTTATCATGATTATATTCTTACTTCCTATATTTACTGTAAGGAAAATGAGAGGTTCTTACATTTTATTTTATAAGCTATAAGGCGTGGGATTCCATAGGAAATATGAAATCCGCCTTACGGATCGAGGGTTATTTAAACCAGAAGATGGGATCTTTTTATTGCAGAGATTATGTAACCGTTATGTATTCACTCAGAGACAACAGAATAGGGTTAGTTTCAGAAACGCATGAGACACCATCAAGTCGGGTCTACCTGCCTTGTGGAAGTCCTTGGTAGATCAGGAATGCCGAGGCCCAGCGGACCCTCTCTGGAAACCGAGCTGGTAGAAGAAGCCGCGGTTCCGACCAGACCCGTCTCAAGTTACCTCCGGCACACGCCACTTTTATTGGCGTCTGTTCAGACCCAGCCTGGGTCGGTGGAGCTTTTATTCTGAAAGGAGCTGTTGTTGCCGCTGGTTGTTATAGCGACTGGATTTTTCAGCTAGTCGTGGTTCTTTCTGTTGAAGAGTTAAAGGTCGGATTGGCCACTCCGACGCTTGCTCTGGAACGCTTTCGAACTGCGTTAGAGCTGACGTGGCGAAGTTTTATACCTCGGATGTTATGGTTTATTGTCGAATGAAAATTACCAAACACTGTCAGAAGCACGCCTCCGTCAGATCTGTAAGATTCTGATTGGATCAGTGAAAGGAATGTGTCGTGTCCTTTTAACACGACGTGAAATGAGTCCTGTTGGAATCCTTAAAGTCACAGTACTTATTATTTCTGTAGGATCATAATAAAGTAATTAATATTTTGATTTCACAGGTCGGTCACATCTTATTGACTAACACTTTGATGGATTAGCTTTATTAAAATAGAGTTCTTTGATTAATTAAAAGAAAAGAGTTCGTTCTTCGGTCTTCATTGCTGGAACGTAAACAGTTTAGAAGCGAATGCATGACCTTGAGGCTGTTTCATGCACTCTGGCACTGTGTCAAAAGGGAACAGTTGTTAAAGGATAGAACTGGCTCCTTCATCACGTTACATTACTTATCTCTATTTTTATCATTCTTTTTGCACCAAGTACCACAGCAATTTCCTATGGTTGTGATTTCTCAAACATGGCAATAAAACCCTTCTGATTCTGTCCGTTGTATCAGGAGAGGTGGTTCTGAGGGATGTAGATGGCTGATGTTTGTGGATGGACAAATGTTTTTCCAGAAATTTGAGATTTCAACAAAAAAAAAAAAAGACCAGAAAATCTACTGATATGCACTGCACCATAGGTGGGGAAAAAATCACGGTATGCTGAGTGGTCAAAATTAGAAGTGGCTATACTGCGTACCAGCCCACTTAAAGCACTGGTTGGATCATTTCCCCATTTGTGACATCACAATCGGGGACTTTTTGAAATTGCTTGATTTAAGCACATCATTTCTAAACCCAAACACTGACAGAAAACATGTTTGTAGTGTTTGTATAGGCAGTAGAGACTCACGTGTCAGCATAAAAAAGCAAAAGGTGAGTTTTGCATAATGTCCCCTTTAACTCCAGTTCTTCATTTGATCCTGCCTTCATCTAGAGAAGTCTTCAGTTATTTGTTTAGTTTGATTAAATCAGAGGGTTATGTAAAGGTTTGTCTGTAAGCTACTTAAGTACTTATGTCACCCACTATAGTATTCAGTATCGTTAAAATATCGTGGAATTTAAACAGCTTAACCATCAACTTTGTGGTGTTGCTTTTTTCTCTCTCCAGACTACGCCGCTCCTGTTCTTACAGCTGGTGGAAAAAAGGTGGGATCAACATTTAGACCTTCCTCGGATGAGGGCTACACGACCCCCTTTACTACCATCCACTACGACACACCTGGCAGCCTTCCAGAGTATGCAGAGCCTCTTCCACCTGAGCCGGAGTACGCCACGCCATTCAGTGAGCTGCCCGCTGAGCCCAAACCACCGACATTAACAGGAATCATTCACAGCGATGCACTCAGACCTCATGTTCCTGCAGCCTCCACCATTTCCATGACTACACCCAGCCAGAGTCCGTATGACTGCCCGTCCCACAGGGTGCTGTTCAATGGCTACTGCACTCCTGCTCTGCACTGCAGTGGCCCCCAGTTAGTCACAGAGGTCTATGCAGAACCCAAACCAAGTGACTCTTTACTACAGAAGCACACATACGAGGAGCCGTTGTGAGCCCAAGAACTTAAGATGTGGAATCAGCAGCACCCACTGAGCCTAAATAAGTGAGGGCCAGAGTGATCCCACATACCTGTGACCTCCCCAGAGCTTCTTTGGACCCATCATCTGTGGATTTTACTCAAAACGCAGAAGTCCTAAGAGCTATATGGACCTAAGCATTTCCTTCCAGGAGGTAGATTCTGGATGCTCGTGTAAAACACAGGCCTGATTGTGTTTGAGTCTTTTTACTGATAAAACATTAAAAACACAAGTTGCACTTTCTGAAAACACGAACAGAAACGTTAAAACATTCATGCAAAACTGTGGATTGAATGTTACTTGTCACAAAACTGTAAAGTATTCACATCATTAGTTTTAACACAGCTTAAAAATGTTTGTGTTTATGATTATACTTACAGATAACTACTAGGTGGAGCCTGTGAGCTTCAGGAGTCTAACAATTACTGTAATGATCCTCGTGGACGTCCTGTAACTTTATTAATTCAGTTTAAAACTCCTTGAAATTTATTTAGACAGAGTAATGGTGTTATAAGGTTAGACAGAATTCCTCAGAGAAATCAAATCTTCATAAACTTTAAGTGATGGAAATCACATGCTTGCTAGGATTATACAAAACTTCACAAAAACATTTAAGGTTTGGTTAAATTAACTTTAAATTATGGTCCATGCTTAAAACTTTATTCTTTTAGGTGTAAATGTTGAATAAACTTGAATCTTAGGCATTTGCTCCGACTGATTATTCTTTGTAAAAAAAACAAAAAAAAAAACACATAATTTATAATAAAATGTTTGTTTGAAGGTTTTTAGATGCTTCATTGACATAATGAGCTGAAATAAATAAATACCCAATGTAAGGTTCCAGGAAAACATTCAAGTGCTGGAATCAGGTTTCAGCAAAGGCATGTGAAGTCTGTAAAAGAGTTTTTGTGAAATTATGGTTGTCCTCATTTCTATGAGTAAACATTAAATACAGAAATGGCATTAGATTTGGAACCAGTGTCAAACCAGAATCAATTTCTGTCACTCAAATTGATGTTACAGTGGAAATACGTGAATATTTCTCCTGTGGTTTTGCAACATAAAACATTTTCCTCTCATTGGTTTTGATGGGGAACCTCCTCTTGCCTCCCCTCATGTGAGTAGTGTACCAGGGTCTGGTGGCTGTTCCTGGACGGTGCGTCTTTAAAACGCAGTCCGCAGTCCTCACAGGTGTACAGAAGTTCCTCTCTGTGGCTCTCGGCTCCTACCTGTGATGTGCTCCTATTTTCAACGAGCCGAGAGGAGCCTTGATCAGCAAGTACAAGATCAGAAGACCTGAGAGAACTTGGAGTTTCGCGCGAGTCACTTTCCAAGCTGTTAAGCATATTGACCCCCACACTGGGCCGAGACAAACGTCTCGGACGACCAGGAGAGCAGCTCTCAGCTCTTCCCTCCCCATCATGTTCGAGAGTCAAACCGTGGACGGTACGATAATGGAAACGAATGCCGGAGCGGTTGGAGAAGCCCTTCTCACAGAGGCTGCAGGTGAAGGGCCTCTCTCCGGTGTGGATGCGGGTGTGAATCTTTAGAGCACCAGATTGTGTGAAACACTTCCCACACTGGTCACAGCTGTAGGGTTTCTCTCCTGTGTGGATCCTCTGGTGAGCACGGACCCCTGCCAAGTGGGGAAACCCCCTGCCACAGAATCCGCACGAATATGGCCTTTCGCCTGTGTGAATCCTCCTGTGAATCTTCAGCGCTCCTGACTGGCTGAAACATTTCCCACAGTCCGTGCAGGAATAGGGCCGGGCACCAGTGTGCACATTGAGGTGTATACGGAGGTTGCTGTGTGAGTTGAAGGACCTGCCGCACTCTGTGCAGAGAAAGCCAGGCGATTTGTGGGCATGCTCAGAGCGCTGGTGCAGCAGCAGCTGTGACGGTCTGGAGAACGAGGCTGTGCAGTGCATGCATGGATGCAACGACGACAGGTTCCTGCTCCTCTCCTCTCGATGCTGCGGTTGTCTGTGCTGGTGCTGGCATACCTGAGGACACACAGGGATGGAGCACTGGCATGACAAGCAGGGTATTGGTGCAGGCAGCTGTGCCGAGTGGGCAATCTGAGGACAGGGAACGCACGAAGTTAAGGGGCAGTGGTGGTGATGGAAATGATGATGGGTGTGAGAAAAAGGCGAGTCTGTGACTTGTTGGTTGAGGAGCTGGGTGCAAGTCTGAAAGCTTCTGTGGCAGCACAAGCAGGGAAACACGGACGGATGAGACAAAGAGCCAGAGGATGCCCTTAAAGAAGGATTGTCGGAGTTCTGGTTCTGAGTACGCCTGTCGGGATCCTCTATTTGAGGCCGACTTGACTCCTGCTCGGATGTGCTGCTGCAGCTGGTGGTATCTGGGGCAGACACGCTGTGCCTCAGATCCTCGGGCTGGCATGAAGCTTTTAAGTACTGTGATGTCGACAAAAACTGTCGAGCCCTCAAAGTTTCAAAGGCCGGAGTGTGGCTTGAGAACGGACCGCCGGAACAGGTGCAGGCGTGACGCACATCTAAACCTGCAACACAAACAGAGAATTCAGGCACTGACTGTTCAGAAACAGTAAAGTTAGCTGAAGCGTCTCCCGATCCTCCACCTTCTCTGTCCTCTCTCCTCTGGGATGTCCCAGGCTGGACAGGTCTGTTTTCGTGTCTCTTGTCCTGGACGGATCCAAGTGTTTGGAGAGGTTGGAGTGAGGGCGATTTGAGCCCCAAACCAGGAGCCACTCCCCATGGTGAGTTCGGCTGGTTTTTGGAGAGATTTCCAGATGTGAGGAGCTCACCGATGAACTGATGCATCTCCACTCAGGAGCCCTGGACATGCTAAGAGGAGTACAGACAGAATAAAACATCAGATCATAAGGAAATGACTGAGTTGAGCTGAAACCAGCACATCTTAACAAAAATGGCCGAAAACCAGGGGGTTTTATCACGTTTGAAACGAGAGAAACATGGCCGTTGCCTACTCACCTTAATGTCGCTGTTTTTGCCTTTGTCCATACATTCTAACAAGAGCTGGAGCGGGTCACTTCTCCGGTTCACAGCTTTAAGTTGCACCCTTTCAATTCTCAACAATAAAGTCAACTAAATAAAGAAATAAATAAGCGCACGAGCTTGTCATGATTAAATCACGACTGACCCTTTAAAAACATCCGGCCACGTGATATTGTACTTCTGGGGGGTTAAGGTCACGTGACAAAATCTGCACAAAAGCTCCATTTGTTATAATAAAGAATATCAAAAATTAAAAATGTTTTACTCAGAATACGTAATGTATTAAAAACTGAAAGGCAAAAAATGCGTTTTGTAGTTTTTGTTTTAATTGTTCAAGAAAAAAATAAAAAAATAATTCTGAATAAGAAATTACCTAAATTTATCTAATTGAAAAATACATTTGGTTCCTCAAAGAGCTGAATCTGACACGAAGACTTGTCAGGTTTTGATGCAGACATAAAGTTTATGTGTTTATGCAAAGCTAGTAGGTAGCCAGAAGTTTATGACGGCGCCGTTTGTGAAACAAGAGTCACATCTGGTCTTTTTGGCCTGGTGGGACTCCAGAGGCAGCTGATGGGTACAGGTCGATACGTGTTCCCCCTCGAGATCTGTTTCTTTTGCACCCAGCTGCAAGTGGAAATGACCCAATCACAAAAAATAACCCTCACCCTAACATAGGGTGACCATATTTCCATTTCCAAAAAAGAGGACAGGGGATCTGTGCCTATGACGTCACACTATGGCAACGCCACACAAACCACGTTGGGACCCATTTTTTGTAAGAACTAAATTAATATCAGATTCTGCCAATAAAAGGGCTCTAAAACAATTCATATGTAAATATTTTGCATATTTATTGCAAAATCTTATTTTCCTGCTTTAGTGCTGCAACAAGGTTTTATTAATAATAAATTATTATACCTTTTGTTTTACTACAGCATCGGTAAGCTTCCTGTGCACAGATTATTAAGGATGCTTGTTTCAGCTGTGAGATTAGACGATAGGATCAATGAAAACATAAATTGTCACACACTCCATGGAAACTTTCAGAGAATCCACAAATAGTGGCTTTCAAATGGTTTTGTTACTTTTTGCAAGTTTAGAAAAGAAGCAGATGAGACAGCATGTCTGATCATTTAGTTTTTCATCTGATAATATTAGAACATGTCTGTAATGTCTGAGGGGCTTTTATAAACACTGTATAACTAACACTACTGGAGAGGGTATGAATTACACAGAGGCTTCTGGGGAGCCCAGTTAGAGGGGTAGGGGGTGTTCTGTTTTGCCTTGGCCCCCAAAATGCCTTGAGATGGCCCTGGGTGTGTGACTGAGTTTTGAAGGTGATCTGAATTGTATCAGATGTATAAATATGACATAGCAACTTATGGCTTACAGGTAAAAACGTGTAGTGGAGATAAATCTGCCGACATTTGACTTTTCAACACTTTGTTTTGTTTTCTTGTTTTTATTTAACTATTTTCCTGTCCTGTCTGTCTCTCAACTTCCTGCATCTCCCCTAAAGTCTCCAGAAAAACTGTTGCCTGGATTCTTACTTTTTCACCTCATCAGTTACTTTTGAGCAGATCAAAGGGATCTCCTGACCGCAAAGCGGAGAGCGCGTTTCGATCATCGACATATATACGGTTTCGATGCTGCGTCAGTGAGGTGAAATCACTGCAGCACACGATGAGCTCCGCAGTAGCAGAGCGCTTCAGGCACAAATAAGACAGAAAATAGAGAACATGAGCGGGCATGAACGATCGTGTGTTAATTATAGTTTTTTGGTTGCACCACTTTGAGAATGGACCGTGCGCTGGACGCAGCTGCCTGGAGCGCACCAATGATCAGCTCTCTGCCGCTCTCCGCTCAAAAGAACCCCCGGTACACTGAGAGTCCATAAATGATGTAATTTAGGTAGAAACGTTTTTTTCCGGCTCTCCCTGGATGTGTAGGATATCCAGCTCCCCCACAATTTGATCCCTGCTCCTGGATGAAAAACCGGACATTTTCATCAATACAAGAAAGCCGCCCGGACGCCCCCGACAGAGAGTGAAAAGTGGACATGTCCGAGGAAAAGAGGACGCATGATCACCTGACCCTAACCCTAACCACCCTGGCACCAAAAATGTATGTTTTGCATAAATATAATTTTTGAAAATATTATGTGTGGCACAATTTGTATGTTTGTTTCAGGGTTATGGTTATGGTTCAAACTCACAGCTTGGTGCAAAAGAAACAGATCTCGAGGGGGGAACACATATCGACCGTTGATCTACGTTCCTACTACCCTCACCTATGGTCACGACGAGCTTTGGGTAGGGACCGAAAGAATGAGCTCACAGATACAAGTGACTGAATTGAGTTTTCTCGCCTTAGAGATAGGGTGAGAAGCTTGGATCATCCGGGAGGGGCTCAGAGTAGACTTGCTGTTCCTCCACGTTGAGAGGAGTCAGTTGAGGTGGCTTGGGCATCTAGTTCGGATGCCTCTTGGAAGCCTGCCTCCCTGGTGAGGTTTTCCAGGCACGTCCAACTAGGAGAAGACCTACAGGCAGACCCAGACTGTCTCTTGGCTGGCCAGCAAACGCCTTAGGGTTCCCCCATAGGAGCTGGCTGAAGTGGCTGGGGAGAGGGAAGTGCCCATGTGACCCTACCGCTGATAAACGGCCGAAAATGGATGGATGGACGTTTGTGAAACGACTGCAGCTCAGAGGAATTTTGTACTTTGACAGGAAAGCTGGATGGCTGTTTGAAAAGGCAAAACTAATTTTGCACTTCGTGTTTTCTCGAGTGGTGAATAATGATTTTGTTAGAGATATTCACCTGGAGGTCATTTTGCACGGCTCCTCCTGTTTCCTCCTTGCACAAAGGCATAGGCAGTGGTCCTGAAGCTGGGTTGTTGCCCTCCTCCACATTTCCTGATGTAGTGGCCTGTCTTCTGCTCTGGACACTATAGACAGCAAACCTAGCCACAGCTCACGTTGATGTGCCATCCTGGATGAGCTGCACCACCTGAGGCACTTGTGTGAGTTATAGACCCAGTCTCATGCTACCACTGGTGTGATAGCATTGCTAGCATTCAAGTGTGACCAAAACATCAGTCAGGAATCAGAGGAACTGAGAAGTGGTCTGTGGTCACCAGTTGCAAAACCACAAACACCACTGGGGATCTCTTACTAAATGACTATAATTCAGCATGTGAGCTTGATTGTCAATCAGTGTTGCTTCCCAAGTTTGATTTCACAGAAGTGTCATCGCCCTGGAGATACAATGTGTGGTTTAAGTGGTCCCTTTATTTTTTAGCAGTGTAGTTTTTTTCTGTAGTCTGAAAAGCAAGTTTTCTAACTACTATGAAAACTAGAAGAGCATCTTTATTTTGCCCATCATAAAAAATGTACTCCGGGATCTCAGGTCAGGAAAACAAAACTTTTATTTCCCTTCAAAAAACATCCAAATGTAGCTTCAACATACAAGGGCCAAAGAACAAATCCCCAGTTTAAATAACGCCTGAAACCACTTAAAAACAGCTAAGGATTTGAACCCCTTAAACAAATATAAAGTAGTGATGACAAACTGAGGAATGGGAAAGCTGAGGCTAATCCAGCACAACACGACATCGCTCTACAAGCCAGTCCCTGAAGACAGATGAAAAAAACTAAAAAAAAAAGAGGAATGTTTAAAATGAGTGAAAAAGATTCAGGTAATGACTCTTAATTTATTGCTAAGAAGAGACAAAACATCACGACACGTTCAGTGTATAGTCACGCCTGTGGCAGAGGCTGGATGAATAGCAGGAATCACGATCTTCCTAACAAATTGTAAAGTGATGTATTCTTATATTTTGTTTTGTGTCACAGGTCAGGAAGACACAACACTCGTGAGCCTTGTTTGTGTCCCATCAGTGCGATGTTTAGTTATTGCGACTACATTGTGCTTCCTTTGTCGTTTTTCTGTTTCATCGTTTCAGACCATGTCAAGCTTTAAATGTTTGTTTAGGTCTTTATTTCCATCTCTGATCCACAGGGGGTCAGCAAGCTGCAAACGGGCAGCCCTTTATGAGCGTTGTTGGTTCAGGGTCGGTTCTGTCTGGGCGCTGAGAGCCGAGAACATCGCTGGTTCCGTTTTAAAGCACCTCATTTCACCACTTCCATGCCCTTTACCTTCGTGTTTGTCGCTACAGCCAGCCTGCCCTGAGATTTCCAACTCCATCGGCTCCGTTTTAACTGCCAGGAGAGGAGCGTTTGACTCTGCAGCTGCAGGAGACTCGCACTTCTTAGACAAATCCAACGGAACTTCTGAATCCTCTAGAAAGCCTGTTAGCAGTTCAAA